CAGTCTAAAATATTCATTGGACTGGATTGGACCTGGTCCATTTATAATGGACTCACATTGGACTGGATCGGATTGGACCAAATCCAGTCCAATTGACACCCTACTTATTGGTTGGGATTGCGCCTGATCCATATAAGTGTCAATGGATTGCGTTTAGGTTGGAACCGATCTAAATTAACACAAATTTGAACATATTGAATGGTCCAGACATTGGATTAGACTGGTCCAAAATATTCATTGGAATGGATTGGACCTGGTAATTTGTAATAGACTCACATTCGACCATATGGATTTGGACCAAATCCAGTCCAATTGAATTGACCCTATACCCTTGTCCCTTGGCATGTCAATTCTTTACTAGATTCGAACAGAAAAATTCAAAATGATTTGTATCCAAACGGACTGGGATCTGGAGAGATCGGCTTCAGTTAGAGCAAGGTCTGTTAAAACTGCGTTCAAACAACTTTTATAGCCTTACATTGGGAATATCTCCATACTTATATGTTTTATTTCATGGGAAGATATTCTCAATATAAGATTATGATAGCTGTTTGAATGGACTTTGCTCTTACTGAATCCTATTTTGGATATGGAGTGCATAGACCCTAAGTGTACATCTCTCGAGCTTCTGCCTCATTGATTGGAGACCAGATCTGCTCGTTACACCTAGCGCCTCACAAGTGCCTCAAATCTGCGCCCCACAAACGCCCCACACACCGAGTGTTCGCCCTGTTCATTCGCACGCATTTAGCATTATCGCGTGTAGGGCTAACGGGAATTAGTCCTGACCCCTTGATCGATCCCTCGTGCTTGAACTGGCCGTCCCCTGACCCCGTTCTTCTCCCCTCCATCTGAGCTTTCCTTCTCCAGCACCGGCGACCGCTCCGGTGAATTCACCTTGACCAGGTATTACCCCTATTCTTTGATATTTTGTTTTCTCATTTCAGACACCCTTATCGTTCAGGTTCAGCCGTTTAGGTGCTTGAAGCGCTTAAACCTTGTAAATAATGAACGACTTGTATCTGTGTGGGCCGATACTATAGTAGGTTTGAAGTGCAAGGAACTGATGAATATGATGAATTGAAGTTGAAGGGTGAGAGGTCTAAGATCCAAAGTGGGTTTACAACAGGCAGATCTCTCGGTTGGTTAAGTTGATCAGGTTGTGGGACGGTTGTATGAAACTAACTTGGATCCGATCCAGAGTCGCTTTCAGGCATTTGGTATGTCATGTCCGTAAGCTCTGTACCAAAAATCAGCAATCACAAGTATATATTATAGATGTATCCGTTTCCGATCACGTATCATTTTTTCGTGATGTGTCAAGTTTTTGGCTAAGTACCACGTCATCTCGTTTACTCCCATGTGGTCGGTGACTCAGAGGCTGAAGTGGAGCTCCTTGGTGGCGAACTGCCTGTGACGAACTACCTTGATGAGCTGCCTGGAGGTCAGCTACCTTGATGAGCTGCTTGGAGGTGGGCTACCTTGATGAGCTGCTTGGAGGTGAGCTACCTTGATGAGCTGTCTGGAGGTGAGCTACCTTGATGAGCTACTTGGAGGTGAGCTACCTCGATGACGAGCTCCCTAGTGTAGTGCAACCTGACTGATACCGGCAGGAGGTGATCTGGCTACCAATAACAACGGGAACTGAACTAGCTATTCCCTGCTGGCGATGATTTGCTCGTCTTTGTAAGCTGCGGGAGCTGAGGGACCTGCGAGAACCAAATCAGAGAACCCGGGGGTGTTTACCCGGTGAGGTCACTCCGATGGCTAAGTTAGCGCAGTATATTAGTAGAGAGCTTGAAGATGATAAGAGAACGAGAGAGCTAGAGAGCAGAGGTTACCCATCCCTTTTTTGCCTCATTTTTGCATACCTTCGCCCCTGGGGGTGAGGTCTTTATATACTGGAGTCCTCATGGGTTAGGTGGAGCAGTTCCTGGATCCCAGCTGTGATGGGACCGGCTTGCGTGTTAGGTGGATGAAATGCCATCAAACGGTAAAACTGTCCCTTCTCGTCAGAACTGGGGAGTGGGTGAGCTAATATAGCCGTTATAAGTCACAATCCTGTAAAATGCGGGGTACGGGGGTGTGTTCCTCGAGGTTGTCAAAGTGGTGCCTGTGTCAGGCCGCCAGCTCGTGCCAGCGCCAGGTCGCGCCAGGGCCAGGCTGCCAGATCGTGCTAGGGCCAGGCTGCCATCTCGTGCCAGGGCCAGGTCGCGCTAGGGCCAGGCTGCCAGCTCGTGCCAGGGCCAGGCTGCCAACTCGTGCCAAGCCCAGGTCGCGCCAGGGCCAAGCTGCCAGCTGGTGCCAGGGCCAGGCTGCCAGGCCGCGCCTAGTGGGATACCATCAACTTAGCAAAGGCAAGTTGTTGCCAAAGTGGTCCCGGGTGTCACCTAGTTGTTCTGAGGTGCCAAGCTACATGATGGCGAGCTACCTGTGTGTTGCATGGTGGCGAGCTGCCTGTGTGTGTTGCATGATGGCGAACTGCCTATGAGTGTTGCATGATGGCAAGCTGCCTGTGGCGAGCTCGAGCTGTCTAGCTGTCAAGGGTCTGCACTTAGTTGGCATGAGGTGCCAGGTGTCACAATGTCATTGGAGGGCCAAATCCGCCCTTATCAGTTGCCCCCCACTCTCGAGCTTAAAGTAACTCGGCGAAGGGAGTAGATTTCTCCTTTTGGCCCATAATTTGACGAGCTCGTAGGCGCTGATTCAGTTTCTTAGGCTCTGGGAGCTGTTTGGAAGCGAGGTGCCCGTGAGGCGCCGAGGTTTCTGCCAGTTCGGTACTTTAGCCCTTAGATTCTTGGAGCGACTTGTAGTCCACTCACCTTGACTTTTCCCATGCCGGCGAGGCGGCTGGGTCTTGTGCAGTATTGTGGCTTTTAGGCTTTGGGAATGACTTGTAATCCACTCTTGAACTTTGCCCATGCCGAAGTGGCGACTGGGTCTTTCAGTAGTAGTGTTGCCCATGCTGTAGAGGCAACTGGGTCTTTCAGCAGTAGTGTTGCCCATGCCGTAGAGGCGACTGGGTCTTTCAGCAGTAGTGACCCTTAGGCTTTGGGAGGGACCCGTAGTCCGCTCTTGAAGTTTTGCCCATGCCGTAGAGGCGACTGGGCCTTCTTGTGGCCCATAGGCTTTGGGAGGGACCCGTAGTTCGCTCCTGAAGTTTTGCCCATGCCGTAGAGGCGACTAGGTCTTGTTGTGGCCCTTAGGCTTTGGGAGGGACCCGTAGTCCGCTCCTGAACTTTTGCCCATGCCGTAGAGGCGACTGGGTCTTCTTGTGGCCCTTAGGCTTTGGGAGGGACCCGTAGTCCACTCATGAATTTCGTTGCTCCTTAGAGACCTGCAAGGAACTAAATGTCAGAGGACCCGGGATGGCCAACCCGGTGAGGTCGCTCCAATGGCTAAGTCTGTACTCTCATAGTAGATTGCGAGCTATAAATCATAATATGAGAGCTAGAGCTTGCTTACTTGTTTCTGAGGCTAGTGCCTTTTCAATTCATCAGTTCGTGCCTGGACTAGGCCGCCAGGTCGGCGCCCGCGCCAAGCCGTGCCAGGGCTACTTAGTCTGTTAGCTCCTTAAACAGTCTTTGAGTTCATAAAAAATGAAAACTATAAAGCGAGAGTTTCAGTTTCTAAAAAGGGGAGGACTTAACTTTTAGGGAGAAGAGGACTTAGCCTTTTTGTAAGATAAGAACTTAGCTTTTGTAGGATGAGAAGTAAGCTTTTTGTAGTGTGTTTCCCACAGACGACGCCAATTAATGTAACCAATTCTGGTCACGTATCATTTTTTCGTGATGTGTCAATTTTTTGGCTAAGTACCTCGTTAGTGACGTCTGCTCCCAAGTGGCCTATGACTCAGAGGCTGAAGTGGAGCTCCCTGGTGGCGAACTGCCTGGTGGTGAACTACCTTGATGAGCTGCCTGGAGGTGAGCTACCTTGATGACGAGCTCCCTAGTGTAGTGCAAACCGACCACTACCGGCAGGAGGTGATCTAACTACCAATAACGATGGGAACTGAACTGGCTACTCCCCGTTGGCGATGATCTGCTCATCTTTGTAAGCGGCGGGAGCTGAGGGACCTGCGAGAACCAAATCAGAGAACCCGGGGGTGTTTATCCGGTGAGGTCACTCCGATGGCTAAGTTGGCGCAGTATAGTAGTAGAGAGCTTGAAGATGATAAGAGAATGAGAGAGTTAGAGAGCAGAGGTTACCTATCCCTTTTTTGCCTCATTTTCGCATACCTTCGCCCCTGGGGGGTGAGGTCTTTATATACTAGAGTCCTCATGGATTAGGTGGAGCAGTTCCTGGATCCCAACTGTGATGGGAGTGGCTTGCGTGTTAGGTGGATGAAATGTCATCAAACGGTAAAACTGTCCCTTCTCGTCAGAACTGGGGAGTGGGTGAGTTAATATAGCCGTTATAAGTCACAATCCCGTAAAATGCGGGGTACGGTGGTGTGTTCCTCGAGGTTGTCAGGGTGGCGCCCGTGTCAGGCCGCCAGGTCGCCAGGTCGGTGCTTGGGCCAGGCCGCCAATTCGTGCCAGGACCAGGCTGCCAGCTCGTGCCAGGGCCAGGCTGCCAGCTCGTGCCAGGGCAAGGTCACGCTAGGGCAAGGCTGCCAGCTCGTGGCAGGGCCAGGTCACACCAGGGCTAGGTTGCCAGGCCGCGCCTAGTGGGATACCATCAACTTAGCAAAGGCAAGTTGTTGCCAAAGTGGTCCCGGGTGTCACCTAGTTGTTTTGATGTGTCAGGTTACATGATGGCGAACTGTCTGTATGCTGCATGATGACGAGTTGCCTGTGGCGAGCTCGAACTGTTTAGCTGTCAAGGGACTCCACTTTTGACATGAGATGCCAGGTCTCACAATGTCATTGGAGGGCCAAATCCGCCCTTATCAATTATATATTGACGTTTAACATCTCACAAAGAGACGGTGATTATGTGATTCTGTTACGTCAATCCATTCATATTGTGAATACGACACGTATTCTGGCACCGTAAACACTCGGTTCCGGCCGGTTGATACTTGAAAACAGAGCCTCTACACTGTATTTACTACAACGCTGCAAGAACTCTTATATAGAAAAAGAACAAAAGAAGGCAGCAAAATCTGAAAAAATACAGGAAATTTATAGACACTTGTGTATCTATATATCACTATCATCAGTATTCTTTTTCATTAACTTGCACCTCTTGTTAGCATATCATTGTATTGTAGATATGAAATCTGTCCCTGCAACTTAATTTGTTCATAGAAGTTAGCTGTAAACTTCTCAGCCTTGAGATCAATATTCCCTTTCTCTTCTTGGCATGGAAACATTTCAGAGGGTTGTTTATCATCCCAGTCACCCCATAGTCGTCTTCTTTTTCATCATCATCAGCTTTGATGAGAAAACTGTTCCTGCCGCCTTTGTTACAGATTCCATCTATATCGTCCAAGTAGTCGCCCTTGAAATCGAAATCGACATGGGGTGGATTTAAACATAGAATTTGAAATCTCGGCGAAGGGGGGCGATGCATTTTGAAGTGGAAGAGAGGCGTCTTGTCGAAAGATATCTCCCTCCCGTAACGAATAGAGACCCGATCGGAAGCGCTGCATAGGTTCTTGATGTGGTTGGGCAGGAGTCGTCAACCGGAGCGGTCGCCGGTGCCGGAGTAGGAGAGCTCGGGTGAAGGGGAGAAGAACGGGGTCAGGGAACGGCCAGTTTAAGCACGAGGGATCGGTTGAAGGGGCTGAAATGTTGAAATGAGGGTTTTGGGGCTCACGGAACAAGTTAACGACCGTTTCGTTAGTCCTGCACGTGGGAATATTAACCGCGTGCGAATAGACAAGTGGCGGACGCTCGATGTGTGGGGCGAGAAGTGGTGGGGCGCAGATTTGAACTCATCGATTCGAGCCGAAAGGACGCGCCGACGCGGTGCTTGCTTCGCGAACAAGAAAAATGGACTTTGGTAGTGAGAGATGTCGAATTCCATTCGGGCATATGGCTACTCCCGATCTCCCGCCCAAACTGCTGAGTCGCATCAGCGCCTCATACAATCAAACGCCGACAACTGTCCTTCCTCGCAGCTCCTCTTCATGCGTACGGCTCCAAAATTCACCCATTCCCCATTCCTGCTCTCGACGTGTTCACTCTCCTCCACTGAATTCGGAATCCAGAAGTTCTCCGGCGTCGACGATCCTTTCGGTAGTCACACCGTCCGGAGGTAATGTCCCCGTCTCTCTCATCCCTCTCTCTCTCTCTCACACACATCCTTTGGCACTTTTTTTTTTCTTTCACTACAAAATAGAGAAGGGGAGGAACCCACTACCGGCCATCACCGGAAGGATCGTCGCCGGGTTTTCCTCCACTGTGGAAAAAAACCGCACCTATTTGATGTAGTAGGAATACAAATCTCAACTGGTGTCTCTGGCAGCAGGGCTGCACAGAGTTCTTGATATCATAATGGCTTGTGAGTATCCACTGATTTCATCAATATGCGATCCTCAGTTGGTACTAACTGGAACTGGATTGACCAAAGTTCTTTGCTTTCTCGACAAACTACTAAGAAAACTATCTCTTTCACGAAGCCATGAAGCAGCCCGAACATGACGAGCAGCTCGAGTTACTGTTCTCATCTTCAATCAAATATTCAAAAGAATCTATACAAACTTAACCAATATAAACAACTATAGCTTCTGATAGACTACTCAGGCAGCTTCCAAATTACGCGCTGCAACAATGAGACACAAAAAGCAACTAAATTCTTCATCAGTCTATCAAATTTACATTGCTACCCAAATGATGTGGTATTATAAGTTTATTGATAGATGGACACCATCGGCTTTTTAGTAATAATATATGGAGTGCCCAAATAGTTTTGTACTCTTTCACTCCATTATTTTTCTCTTTCCATCTCCGAATGCTTCTTCTTTCATGGCGTCGTTCTTCCTCCAGCTCTGAGTAATAGCTGGCTTCTGCGACTTCCTCAGAGATATGAGCCCCGGGAGCTTACACACACATCCTCTTAAATCCACTATTACGTCATAATCTCTCATATGTACTTCAATTCCTCTTCCATCCTTGGATTGTGGACCCCAGAATATCGGGTAAGCAACTCTCTTTCAAATATCTCCTCATTCTCTCACTTCCATTACCACCGATGTTCTTCAACTTCATTTACACGGGCTACTCTTCTATGGTTTTTCCTAATATGCATTTGTGGCTTTTTGAAGCTAGGAAGCGTGAACATATGAGATGTAATTTCGTCTTACTCAAAAAGATTAAATTTTCTTTTGTTTTGTTGTTTTTGTAGTGTTGTTAAAACCCTGATTTTTTATGCTTTTGTATGCTTAAAGTATAAGCGCCAAAATCAGGTATTTAATTTCTCTATTTCTCATTTTCCGACCAAATTGAAATGTTTCTTCATATTATCTATTGTCCATTCTGCATCTCTAATTACATTCTTTTACATCTAGCTTCATTTTATCTTTTTCATATGCAAGATTTTTTTTTCTTTTTTGGTAAACGTCATATGCAAGATGATATTACTTTAAACGACAACAAATTGATATTACTTTAAACGACAACAAATTGCTTATAATACAAAAAATTAGGTGTGTTTTATTTGTCATGGTTCAACAAAGATGTGTAGATAGAGCATTCAGGAAGTTATTATTTATACTTCTTTATCTATAAAAAAAGAAGTTATCATTTATAATGAGCATTTTTGTTTTTATTTATTGATATATATAAATAACTTATCATTTATAATAAGTTCTTTACATCCATACCCTAAACTGACTTCTGATGTCATGTCATCATACTTATTCATCATACATGCATAATAAGTTGCTTTAGAAAGTTCTCTCTATTTACAAAACAGACTTGATATTTAACAAAAGCTTTCAGCATCATCAACGCAGTAGGCCATATTTGGTTCAACTCTCATTCTTGCTCATTCTTTCCAATAATAAAGTTCTAGCATTGGACAAAAATGGGTTGAAATGAGCAAAATGAGAAAATGTTGCTACAAACCAAACACTTTTTTTTTTCCAAAAAAAAAATTAATTCTTTTTTGTGGCAAGGATGAGAATAAACTTTGAACCTATTTGGTTACAAATTTCATTTTCGTTCATTTTTCTCATCAACCAAAACAATAATATGGTATACATACAATACTCATTAGTGGATATATAGTGGAAACATGCAAGATCCACACCAACAAAACACAAATCAACCATGTGGGTCGCACATCAATAACATAAAATATAAAAAAAAGAAAAGACAAGAAACTAGAAAAGCTTTTGCATTTGGTTCCACAGAGAAAATATAAAAGAACATTTATGCAAGATTACCTATTTGAGACTAATTAAAAGGAAATTAGTTTGTTGAATTGAGTAGGCAGTTGTGCAAATGAAGAAAGAGCTTAGAACTTCAAAATATAAATGGAATTTAAAAATTGCAAAATTAAAAATAAAATTAATAATATGAGGAAGCACAACATATCTAACAATTTTATAAAATTGATAATAGTATATTCAATAAAGATAATATGTTAATAAATCATAAAATATGGTAAAGATCATAAAATCGAGCCTTGTATTTCTCATAAAATCGGTCATAAACCACTGGCCTAGATCTTCACTAGCAGATGACCAACTGTTAATGTCTATTGGCATAAGTTTTTACAACAGGTCGCTGGCCATCCACTGGTAAAAACTATGCTGGCAGTTATTGAGACCTAGGTGACTGCTGGCATAGAGCTTTCTTCGAAGAATGAAAATGAGCAATATGAGGCATCATTGTTTTTCATGCTGTAAGTTGGCTCAATTTTTATGCCATGAACTCTTTTTTTCATTCTAAAATGAATGAGGCTCATGCCAAGAATATTGTAACCAAAGATTCTCATGTTATTCAGTAAGAATTGAAAGAATGATGCCTGTGGCAGCGGACTAAACATGGCCTAAAGTTTCCAAAAAAAATTCTGCCAATCCAATTCCTGAATCGCATTAATCATATCAAGGCCCACTGTTTTACTTCCTTTCAGAAAGAGCTGGTTTCTTGCATGGATAATTAAGTTATTAGAATTGAGGATGACAGTGCCTGCTATTGATAGTTAGGTTATTAGAATTGAAAATAACCATTATCAAGGCCTATCAGTAGTAATGTTGCACATTAGCTAATCACTTAATATTCAAACCATCTAACGATAAAAATAAAAACCAATCAGGGTATATGGACAGTTGCCCAAAGTTGCTTCATGTTAGTTTAAGTTTAAATTAGCAAACATACAAGATGAAAAAATAAAATATCAACAGTGCAATGAAAGCAATGCCAAATAGCATAAAAATGTCATTCCCCAATACTGGTCTGTCTAATATGCAAGATATAGGGAGGGATGGATTGTTCAAGGACCCAACATGCTGCATGTTTTACACAAAATGGCTGCTCTCTGGCTCAAGGCTATGTTCTTGAGTTGTCACCCCAAAATTTTATCATTATATCAAGAATGACCCCTTGAGTATAGCAAGTGTAATCCTATGCTGTTATGGAAGCCTGATCCCTTGATTGTAAAACAGATCCACTTGACAACACTTACAGGGCTAGCCTTTGGAAAGGAATTTAAAGTATAAAATGTTATGTACAAAAGACATGGTTAAGTTGCAACATACCTGAATTTCTTACCCACAAAAAAATGTCATATAGCCTAGGTGTCTGCCCATAAATCACCTTGATAACAATACTGAGAAAAGAGCAGCCCTGTGCTTATCTGTTAAAGACATGAGAACCTTTTCTACATCCTACAGCTCAATCTGTTTCCAGGCACCTTGGAGCCTACCCAACCTAAACCTGAGAGCTGATTTTTAGTTTAATATGACAAAGGACAAGAAGTTTTCAATTTATCAAACCTAGTTAGGAAAATACTTTTGCATAGAACTGCACTAATGTTTCTCCTTGGACAGTACCTAGTTAGGAAAATACTTTTGCAAGAACTGTACTAATGTTTCTCCTTGGACAGTTACAACCCCCAAGAAAAACAGAAAACATAAGACCCCCTCAACACATTAACCCAGGAGAAGCTTGTTGAGCAAGAGAGAGAGAGAGAGGCAAGAACCGAGACATGCAATGCTTTCTTTCGAAAATTTCCGAAGGAAGACACGTTTCAAACACACCTTGTCTTTTTTGAGAAAGCCACACGGTTAGTAGATAAACACATAAAATAAAAGGAGAATGGCTTTGCACGAGTGGCACTCCCACCATATAGATACCATTTTTTGAAAGGAGAGACTATCCACGTAGCCCATTTTAGATTCCATTTTGTGCCTCCTCTTTCCCTTTTCCCTTTAATGTGTGTGTATATATATATTTTGATAAATAGTATGTATATTATATTAACTATTTTGTCTATAGATCTTAGTTTCTTGGTTTTGTTTGATGGTTTGGAAATTGGAACAAGATCTATACTATTATAAAAAGTATGAATGAGAGTGTGAAACTTTTCTAGACAAAAATGCCCACAATTGTTATTTAGTCTATATCTAATTATGAAGGTTGAAAATGTAATTTCAATTAATGATTTTCACCTCATTTAATCTCCTCTCATTACCTCTTATATTTAAGGTATTAACTCCCATTCTCTCATTAAATTCTATATTTAAGCTTTTTTTTTTCACTAATAAATGCTACTAATTAGATCTATGTCCAATACTTTTAACAATATAAACCCATATATTTCAAAACTTACTCAAAAGACAAAACCATTCTTTACCCAAGTGATGACTAAGCAATTCAACCATTTAAATCAAATTGGTCAACCTATGAAGTCATAGTTAGATAATAAAATTTTTAAATAGAAAAAATATAGAAAATTACAAAAATGTAGAAAAAATAGACACATTTATGATATTTTTATTAATCAAATTAAAAAAAATAAGTGTAATAAACAAGAATTATTTTTATTGATGATGAAAATGAAATAATCTAAAACTAACAAAAAATGAAATTATTTTCCTGTTTAGTGGAGATCAATAATTCAACTTTTGGGTCAAATCTGTCAACCTTTGATGTCATAATTAAATAATAAAAATTAATAAAATATAAAAATACATAAGTTTTACAAAAAAAACAATTAGGCACATGTATAATATCATATGTTTATCATATTAAACAAAAATAAGTGTACATAACAGTATTATTTTTACACACATAGAAATAGAAAAATTATAGAAAAAATTGAACACATTTATAACTCCATATTTACACTACTATTAAAAATATGAATAAGATTGTGGAATTTTCTTTTGATTAAAATACCATTTTTTGAATTTAATCCCTATTTAATTGTGAGGTTTAAAATATAGTTTGAAATACAATTTTGACCTCATTCAATTCCCTCTTTAAATCTTACATTTGTTTTGATAAATGAACAAAAAAAAAAAACATTAAGAAGATAAAACATTACAAAAAAAGAAGAATCCAACCAAGTAGGTAGGTTGTCAATGGTACCCAAAACTTTGCAGCTCAATATGAGGTGTTTACATAATCAGATTCAGATTTTGCAATTTGCATCTGATTAATAGTGGAAAACAAAAAATATAAAAAAATAAAAAATAAATGAATTTTATAGAAAAAATTTGGATACATTATTACTATCATTATCACCATCCAGAATTCCCACGTGCATACTTACTAGTAATAACTAAAAGGGTCTATCTGCTTGTCTTTTTTCATTCCATAAAATATCATCCCATCACAATTTTCAAGGCGCCAAAGCGAGGCTAGGTGATAGGGGGCTGTCTTGTCGTCTAGTTGCCTAGGCAATGGATTTTTTTTAAGTAAAAAGCATATATCCTAGGGTAGTTCCCTAGGTTACATAACCATATTTCCTTAATAATTATCCATAATTTTCATAGGAAAAGTATAAACTTCATGTTAAAGTATAGAAAATCAACATATTCATGAGAAGAAAAAGAAGAAAGAAAAGAAAGCTCAAAAAATATAGGGACTGAACCCCTATTTTTGTTATAGGAAAACAAGAAAAGAAAAGGTGGGGGAAGAAGATGTGTTGATTAGGAAAAAAGTTTTATGTTATTCCTTACTTATTGGTTCAGGTTTTGAAGTTTTTTGGGGTTCAATACAGCATTTAGCAATGTTTGTGTTGATTAAACCCTAACAAAGAAAATAATAAAAAGAAATTAGTATATAAGCACACAGAATGAATATTTTAGTTTAATAATGTCTATTTTATAGCTTATCAGAAAAAAATGATGCCTATTTTATAATTATTAATCTGAAAAAATTAAGAATATAAAAGTATTTTATAACACAATGTACAAAATTGCTTGTTGATTAGGCAAGGTGAGCCTGCAAGGGCGCCTTGACAACTATGCATCCCATATATGTGCATATTTTATAATGTTTTCACCTTGTCTATAATTTAAAAATATTTCCGTATGACATTTTCAACATGTTTCCCTCTATTTAGATGACCTACATTTCCACCATCACTTATGGACTCAATATATGCTTTCCTAGATTCTTCATAGTCCTGTTTCTGTTTTCTAGTGACGTAGAAGGTCAGCAATGCCACCGAGAAGGAGAAACAAAAAGGTCTGAAAGTTCTATCCATTCTTCATTGCTTCGCAATTGCTATTTTTGGAACTTTTTTCTTTTTTTTTTCTTTTTCTCCTTGTTCTTATGCCTCTCTCGACTGACAAGCTTTGCAGGTGGGTCTAAAACGTATGGATGCTGCAGTTGATGCCTTGTTTCAGATGGGGTTTTCTAAGAGCCTAGTTAGGAACACAGTGAAAAACCTCCTCAAGGTAGGTTTCTTTTAATTCTCTCCCTAATGGCCTCTCTTTGAACTTCTTTTCCTTTGAGCTTTTATTAATATTCAAAGGTTATTTTCAGGTTTATGGCGGAGATGATGGGTGGCCCTTCATTGAAGAGGGTTCTTACAAGCTTGTACTTGATACAATCTTGGAAGAACAGGAGAAGCAGTGGGTTGTGGTATTTTTCTTTGTCAATTTTGTTTTTAATTAGTATCTCATCTTATAGAACTTCCACAATCTTTGGGCACCATTGCAATCACTTCCAAAGTAAGAGGATCATTGGAGGTTTTGCATTTTCCTCTGATTGCTTGAAAAATATTGGTACAATCCACATATCTTTGCTTTCAGTTACACAGTTTCACACCATCCACTGCACTTTTAAAACACTGACTGTGGATTTCTTTTGCTGTTCTAAGATTTAAGGTAATACAATCTGATTTTGCTCGCTTTATATGTGTAACAACAACTCTTAGAGTCAATGATGGCAATGGAGGAATTGGAAGGGATTCCTTGTTCTAACTTTGTTTTAATTTCATTGATGATTATGTCTTTTTTATATTCTATTTGTTTCCTCTTAAAAACTCTTATCTCTACTTCATACTTAAAAGTTTTAGCAATAAGAGTGTTTGACTACTAACTTTATGCAATGAGACTGATTGCACGGATATGTCATCATTCTCCAAACTTTCATCATTTACTATTCGTTTTGCCTTTCTATTTTTATATCTATACCTGTATTCTACATGGCTACTTGTTTTGGGTGTGACCCATGTGGAATATGGGTTCTAATAAATTATTCATAATAATAATAGAATGCTCAATTATTTAATTGTTTATTAATTAATTATTTAATAACTTAATGATTATTTATTAATGATTAATTGATTATTAAAGTAATTACTATAATAATATAATAATTATAAGAATATTATTATTATTAATATAACGTAATTAGCAAATATTTTAATAATTATTATCAGAGGGTGGGCTTTGGTGCAATAGTTGGGTTGCTCCATTGCGACCTGGGTGACCAGGGACAAATCTTGGAAACAGCTTCTGTGTATGTGCAGGGGTAAGGTTGCTTACATCCATCCCTCCCCAGATCCTGCATTTGCGGAGCCTCGTGCACTGGGCTGCCCTTTTTTAATAATTATTATCAATTATTATATTATGATGTTGTCAACAAACATTCTCAAATCCAATGTTAAAATGGTCAATTGTCGTTTTTCAGAACTCAGCATTCACAATTTAGAGGCATTTAGATATTAAATGAACATGGCCTTAATAAAACTTCCCACCAGCAGCTAAGGTACATAAATTTACAGGGTGCAATGTGAACAAATTTGTAACAAATTACTAGGTTTCTCCATTGGCTGCTAGCTATTGCACCTAGTTGGCATGGAATCAGGTTATAGAGTTAGTGGAAATAGGGAACACTACATGCAAATTCTTAAATCTATCCATATAGGAGATATTTCTTTTTGGCATGGAATGAGTTAAAGGAAACACAACCTTGTAATTGGAAAGAAGATTATTCCAAAAAGAAAAAAAAAACAAAGGGTGATTTAGCATTTGAGGATTGGAGACAAGCTGTCCTAGAGACCTGTATTGAGACCATGCAGGGGATTTAGGGTTTGGGTCGTTTGGCTCTTGAGGAAATACCACCGGGATTACATTCTAAATGAAAGGAGGACTTTACATTCGGGAATCACAAATAAAGCTTTTCTCAAAGACTGGAGTTGGATCAATGTTTTTTTTAGTGTTTTTTAAGAACTGTTTGATAATGGCTGAAGTTACTGAATTGAATGACTTATTTCTGTCTTTTAGTAAATAAAATAATTAAATAATAAAACATTCGAGGGGTGATAATATATCCAACTTCAGCTTCAGCCTTTAAGGAACTCATTACCTCCTTAAAAACTTGTTCACCAAGAGACAAAGCAATAAGTTTTTAGTCCAGCTACTTAAGCTGTTATCAAACAGCCCCTTACTACCACTTATAGGTAAGTATTTCCTTATCTTTTTGAATCTCTGCTCAAGCTTATAACCTTTGGTTTTCTTTGCTTTCCCAATCTGGTTTTCTTTTCCTTTTGATATTCTCTAATCTTACCCATAATCAGTGATTTCAGTCTGCCAGTGTTCATAGTTATGCTTGTGGGCTTTCACTTTTGTTACTGGCTTACTGCAACTCATCCAAGCTATTTCCTACTTTTTCAATGTTTATCTTGATGTTTTTTGGATCACTGATTGGTCTGAATTTCATGTCCTGTTTTTAGATTTCCTTGTCCATTGAGTTTGTGCTGCTTTTTAGAACCATCATGGGATTGATGTCAATTAGGGTGTGCTGTTGTCAATATCACTTGCACTGCATCTTCCTCAGTGCTGCAGTCACTGCTCACTGGATTTCATTTTCTGCTACAGAGAATTATTGCTGCTACAACACACATCTTCACCATCTGTTGCCGTTTTGATTTACTGAGTCAGTCAAGCTTGCTTCCACTACAAGAAATCTGGGATATAGTGATTTTCCTATAGTGTCACTATATCATGCTAAAACTGTCTGTCTACAGTGATGGTCTTAAAAGGATCACTTGTGTGACTGACACAAAGGTATTAATTATGCTCCTTGCAAACCATCACTAAACTGTTCTATGGTGATGGTTTCTGACTGTCACTAAAAAACTTTAGAAACATCACTATCTGTACATCTATAGTGATGCTTATTGACTGTCACTATTCACTAAAGCTTATAGTGATGGTTCATGGTGTCACAAAAATCCCCGAAATATGCATCTCTGCCAATTATATAGTGACATTTTATGTCTGTCACTATAAAAGAAAATCATTACAACTGACTATCAACTCCCTATCTTGGGAAGACAACCCCCAAAATAGTTGGTTTCAATTAACTCCCCAAAATAGTTGGTTTCTTCTTCTTCTTCTTCTTCTTCTTCTTTTCCGCTCCTTTTTACTCTCCTTTCTATAAAAGAAAATCATTACAACTGACTATCAACTTATTGGTAATCAGTCCAACTTCTCATGACAGCATCATAGTAAGATGGTGCCCTCCTTCCAATGCACCCCTCCATAGTAAATAATCCATTGTTAGGTGGCTTTGCTTCAGCAGGTCTTCAAGCCCATCCTAGCTAGAGTCATCCAATAGTGAACCATTGCCAGCCCAACCTAGCAAACGCTTCCCAACCTACTTTCAAATTAATAGATATAAAATAAGCACAAACAGGGGAAGCATTCAGTCAAGGATCATTCATACCATATAAGTTATTCTTGAAAAGGATGGGATTTTCATCTCCAAAGTCCTTTGCCTAACATAATATATCTGCAAGGGTCCACCATTCAAACTAGTGATCTCTGTGTGGTCCCTGGAAAAAATACTTTTCCTCGTCTTCTAAAAGTAATGTATCCAACAGGATTCATACAACTATGTTAAAAATGGATTTATACAATTATTTATTGGCTTGATCTCCATGCACACAAGTGAGGGTAGAAATCTTCTGAATCAAAAAAATTATAAAGAAGAAAAGAAAAGTAGTGTTTCTTGTGGAAGAAGAGAAAGAGAAGAGAAGGGTTTGAGAAAGAAAGAGCAAATCTTATCTGGCCGCCCTCTCCATTGGTATTTATACTTTAAGTAAAAAAATAGTACAATGACTAATATGCCCTTATAGGGCAGCTAACACAAAATCTCAATAAAAAACTTAAAAACATCACTCCAATGGGTCCCAACAAGTGTGCTGTGGTCCCCACTCCCTATCTGAACAAATAATAAACAAAATTAACTAATAAATCTGCACAAAATCCTCAATATGATGATGTTTAAAATATGTTTTCTTCTTAATAATGCCTAGTTACCTATTCTTGATGTTCTACACAAATTTGACACTCATGTTTATCACTTTCAAATGTATAGACGATTATGTGCACATGTAACAGAATTCCTAGTAAAATTTGAAAATTTGAAATATTTTTTTTGGAGAAGAGATAAAGTATCATTTCATTGAAACAGAAAAATAACCAAGTACAACCACATGGCTGTACAATGGGGGGGGGGGGGGNTACAAAGCAAATTGGACCACTATCCCATTTGAGATTACAAAAAGATTTTCAACTTCCAAAAGAGAACCAAGGACTGATCTGTCTAATACTCAGTGTGCTGATGCCCAGGATAACAGCTTCCCACAATTTTCTGCCATTCTTCCTCCTGCCACCCTTTGCTCTGGAACAGCCTTGTGTTTCTTTCCTGCCATATCGACTAAAGACTGCTCCTGGAACTGTTTGCCAATTGGCTTTTCCTTTTTTTATTCAAGCATTGGATTCACCAACCTTTTACAAAATCTTCAACTGAAGCTGGACAGCAACTCTTTAGAGCAAAGATCCCAAAACACTCTCGCACAATTGTTATAGGTGAAACTGCAAGTCAGTAACAAATGATCACTTGATTCTTCAACCCTGTTATACAAAGCACACATTCTGGTGAGTCGATCACCATTCCCCTCCTAATCAGATTGTCCTTTGTAAGGATCCTGTTCAAGTAGGCAGCTCAAACCAAAAAAGCCCCTTTTGATGGGATATGCTTGCACCAGATTATGTTTGAAGGAAAAATCCTGCTCTTCCTCTTGAGTCAACTTATTATTAGAAGATTTAACCATGAACTGACCCTTACTATCCTCTGACCACACTTCTATATTCTGAATTCCAATTAATTTTCAAGCTGTACAGCTTCTGATGTAGCATTCCAAACGGTTCAATCTCCCTTACTATTCTCTGACCACACTCTTCTATCTTCTGAATTCCAATCAATTTGCAAGCTGTACAGCTTCTGAAGTAGCATTCCAAACGATTCAATCTCCCATTCATTCAGATCTCTTCTGAACTGTAGATTCCATATGTATTCCCCATTTTGAAACTGCACATAGTCTGCCACTTTTACCTCCTTATCAACAGCAACAGCAAAAAGTTCCGGGAAATCATATTTTAACGAATTATTCCCACACCAACAATCTTTCCAGAACCTGACCATGGTTCCCCTCCCCACTTCAAACTCAATTGCGTTACTGAAAAGACCAACTTTTTCAATTTCTTTCCAAACCAAGCAGCCATACAACTAATTTGCTTCACCTGGATCCCACCCCTCATTTCTCGTGCTATTTTTTGCTTGAAGTG